ATTATGTCCTGTTTAATCGTTAGAGAAATGTACAATAGTTATAATAATAATAATGATGTAAAATAAATAATTATCGATCTATTAATTCCTCAAACTCTATTCACATCTTTCGGAGTAGTATATTATTTGTTTTTTCTTTTCCCGCTTTCATTCTTTCTAGTCTCTAGTAGTCTATTTCACTCAATTTTTGCAGAGGTTTTAAAAAATATAACAATAGTCTTTCGTTAATTTGAACTTTGCGATGTCATGTATGTAAAATTTACTTAGGTATCACATCATGCGATAAATTTATATAAATAAAAATGCAATAATAAATACATATGTATTATGTGATTAAATTATTGTAATTTTTTTGTATACTGTGCCATTATTACGTAATTATTACGAAAAATTTCATATTGCAATTTTATTTCATTTAACGTTATTTTCGAATTATTAATAGCGCATATTCGTAGCGCATTGTACAACGCAGTTTATTCAACGTGATGTGCCAATGAAAATTGCATCGATGCTGTATTATAACGATCGTGTTACGTGATGTTTTTATATCAGTTGACCGATTCAAATTGCGTCGATGTGACATTATATAGCATCAGTCATATATTCGAGCAAGACTTGGCATACGAATCATAACGTCACAATTAGCAGAATATACGCTGGTGAAGACAGAGATAAAAAAAAGAAATTAACAGCGATAACTAACAAATAACTAATGATTAAACTTAAGTAATGATCGATACAAAGCCAGAATTAAATATCTAATACTTTATATTTCGTTTCAGATATTGTCTTTTTTTTAAATAGTTTTATTAGTTTATCGTAATTAAAATTCTAGTTCCAATTCAATGAAACCAATTTCATGAAACAAAATATAATAGTAAAATCGATTTTATGAATTATAAGAGTCCAAAAGTTAATGGTTTTAACGCCGATTATTATTCCCTGATAAAATTAAGAAATTGAATGTCAACAGGATGGAATAGAGTATGCACTAGTAGTGCATACAGCACTGCATATGCAACCTTTCTCATTCTATCGATGCTTTTTATCCTTCTTTCTCCTTCTTGTTCTCTCTCGATCTACCACGTTCTCTAATTCCGTCTCTGTCGCACTAGACGAGATGTACCCGCTTTAAGTAGAATATCCTCGTCTCTCCCTCTTTCATCCTCGCTCTTCAACCTGGCCGATCTCTTCTCTGCCATTTCATATCGAAGTATCTCTCGGGTGAATTCGTAAATTTTCGGCACGAACGATAGAGAGGAGATCAGCGAAAGACAGAGCAATGAACAAAGAGAGAAGATGCAATGTGGATTGAGAAGTATTAAATAGCATAAACATTAAGACGAAAGGAACAAGAAAAGGTGAAAACAATACAAAATATTATTAAATAATACATTTAACAATATAAAATGTAATTAAATAATACATTTAAAAAAAAAACGACGAAAAAGAAAAATTTTAACAATAATAAATTAGAAATTTGAAAGAGAGGTAATAATGGAATTTATTATGTATTTTAAAATATAATTTCATAGAACATTGCACGCAACGGAAATAAATTAAAGAAACAAATATTAAACAATCTAAAATAAATGAAATGAGATGGAGAGAAAGAAAGGATGCGAGATTAAGATACAACACGAGAGAATTGTCGTTTCGTCATCGTCGTAGAGAGGTGAGAAATGGTGACACTACTGATGAGAAGGAGACGGAGAATGTAAGAACGGCGGGAAAAGAACGAGACACAGAGAGACGGTGGGAAAAAGCGGAGATAAAATGAGAAAGAGAAAGAGGGAGAGGGAGGAGAGAAACGTAAGGGGAAACGTTCCCGAAGGGAACGAGAGGAGAAGGTTCTCCCACGTAACCACGCCTCACGTTCGCCAACAGATTTTTACATGCAAACTGAACACGGAGAGGGGGAACGTCGAGGCAATCCATGGGACGCCGGAGTAAGGGTCCCCATTTACATCGCGAAACGTATCTCCCTCCTCTCTCTTACCTCTAGTCAAGATGGAAATGCACACGCATATTAACGCATACGTATGCGTAGACGTCGCCCAGAATTTCCTCCTGTCGGAAATACGCCGCGAACTCTACACTCCGCGTGGATGCGCTAGAACGATGTCGTGTCCGCGTGTCTCTATCATCGAGAGGAGGCAAGGGGTTCGAGAGGGAACGAGGAAACGAGGAAACGACGCATTAAAATGGTCATAGAGAGATTAATTTGTTGTTGGAATCGGGTACTGCGCGCGCCTCTTTTATGATAGTACTCGCGCGCGCAGTCGGCCGCGTCTCGCCGTCGTCGCCGTCGTCGTTGTTGATTGTTGTTGTTGTTGTTGTTGTTGTTGTTGTTGTGTCGTCGGTCGCTCGTCTATGCACATCGGACGCATGCAACGCGAAAGAGCGTCCCGTTCCACCAAGCGGCAGCCGAGCGTGTGATGGCCGCGGATAATAAGCGCTCCACATTCTCTTTTTTTTCCGCGAGCGGCATTGCGCATTAGTAGAAGAAGAGCGCCCGTCGTGCACGAGCGTGTGCCTTCCGCTTAAACAGTCTCTTTAAGCGGAAGAAACAAAATAGAACATCGATTTAGTTATATCGCAGTCTCCCGTACGTAAAACGCGGAAGTCCCAACTTATCTCTCTCGCTATTTAATAACGCGCCTACATTAACCCTTCTTTAAAATTTTATTTCAATGTATGTTCAAAAGCTGAATTCTACACACATGTGAATCGCATGGATCTTCAAGACACATTTGAAAAATTAATGTAGAAGCTAGTTTTGAGATTTGAATCGCCAATGTATGTGATCATAGACAAAAAATATTGCTTTTCACATTTCACGACTTAAATGCTATTCATTTCATAAATAAAAATTGAAAGGGAGAAAAACAATTTATGAATTTTTACATGCACGAATGAGAGAGATTGCTACCAACTTGAATAAATGAACGATGCCAAAAGTTCAAAAAAGATGTTTCCGGATTTATCACTGGTTCACTGCGTATGTCTCGGGATTGTACGATTAATGAGAATTTCCGCAGCTGAAGGGATACCGAGAGAGAAAATTGTGACCGTAATTGTGACCCTGACAGAGAGGCCAATTTGATGACGAGCGCTCTGCATCTGCATCTGCGACGTACACTGTGTCTCAAAATAACGTCGCACCTGAATTACACCTTCATTAATATATTAGCTGCTGAGTTGTATTATAACGAACGCGATATTACAATCTTTACTCACTCTATCGAGTATATGTTAATTTAATGTGGAAAAATCGTGAAATAATATAAATAATATAATTTCGTTACTTTACTATGTTTATGGAAAAGTGATTTATAATTTTTTATGATGTGCTAATTTCCATTCTATTTCTACTTATTCGTTATACGTTATCGTAAACCATTTAATAAAAATATAAATTATGATTTCATATCTTCCTCACGACAATGCAAATATATGTATATATGTATGTATATATGTATGTACACGCAGCCATACAATTTTGTTATTTCTCTAATGACTTACATTTCAATTAATCTTCACATAACTTTCATAATTCTATGAAAAGATATCTGCCGATTTATAACGAGCAATTTTTTGATAAACATTAATTTATTTCTGGCAAAAGATTTAATTTAATCTTCCTTTTAAATAATTTATTAAAAATTTGGCCTAATTGTTATGGACATACTCGATGTCCATCCATCTACGCGAAGCCACGATGCACGTATTACGATCGATTTCTGTCTCGGTAGAAATCTGTCTTCGCGTATGAAATGCATTCGGTATGGTATTAAAAACAAAAAAAGGAAAAGAAAAAATGTATGGCAACGTCATATCGTTGGAAAGATGCCACGAGAAATGCATACGTAGCGCATACGGAAATCTGATCGTAATAAAGTACGCTACCATTTCATACGGCATAGAAATGCCTACAGCGGATTTTTGTGGAAAACAAATCTTTCACAACAAATCTTTCACATGTTCCCCTCGTGATTATGCGATCCATATCCAAATTATGCCTTTGTTTTACAAAAATGTTGACTAAAAATCAAAAGATATATGCGACCTTACTTCCCTTTTTTGGCTTTCGCATGTAACTGCGAGACCAGAATCGAGACGAAAATAATTAAAAAACCAATTAAAGAAGCATACGTCAAGAAAAAATTCATCGTTGTGCTCTCTCACGTTTTCCATGTCACAAAACTGATTGTAGGAAAGAAAAAAAAAAATACTGACGAGAGATAAAACCGTCTCACACGGAAGAAAAGATTTTTTTGTCTCATGAGATAAGAATAAAAAAAATCATTCCGTGATACTAAATTTGTGTAATCTTACCTTGAACGGGGAAGAAACATGGACCCATCGATGAACACGGAGCCGGATAGAAGTATATACCAACTTGTAGCCAACTCGCCGGTGCTGAAAATTATAACACTCTGTTTGTTCTCGATATATTTTCGATAAACGTATGTGTAGAAAATAAATGAAACAAAAACTAGCTATAAACGTAAAGTTATAAACTCAAAGCCAAAATGCTTATTAAAGATATTAATAACGAAAATGAATTCATTTGCTGACTAAATTTAAATTTTCCATTGAAAATTCATTCCTCAATAAGTCATCTTTTTCGTAATTGAAAAGTGCAACCTCTACTGACATCTGTACACACAACTGCGTAAATTTCTCTTACGATGTACGAGAATATCGCGACACGATAAAAGAATTTCACGATATTACCACGCTGTCGATAAGGAAGATTTCTGTGACATTACAGTTACATCTTCTGAAGATACAGTGGTTGTTACATGTATGTTTCATTTTGCACATAGTATGATTGCGTACACAACAAATTGACATAAGAAAAAGTTATTTTATGAATCTTTATTCAATAAATCAAAATTTTCTTGGATTTTTCTTTATAAAGTTTTTTTTTATAAAATTATAATTAAAATTATAATTAATATCTCATAATTTTCAATCAAAAAACGTCAAATATAATTCAATTATAAATCAATATTAGATTAGATGTATAATGTTTATTTGCTTTTATCTCGAAAAAATTCTGAATACAGAATACAGATATCAAACAAATTGAAAAATATAAGATCAAATTTTATAATGTTAAGTCTTATTGTTAACAAAGATTTTGAAAAAAATAAAATTTTCAAATGCATATGTAATAATAGACTCGAGATTTTTCAGTCACGATTGCATACATTTGACATTTTTAGTTCTTATAAATATAATTTAAGTCTCTGTTCTAACAAAAATCTATATTCTATCAAATAAACATCAATACGTCAATCAATAATTAAATTAATGTAAATGATTTCAATATTCGTTTTCACGATAAAAAGATATTGTCCTACCGATATCACATACCGATATCAGTTGCTCTAATTGTAAAATAAAACGCAAATAGAGAGACGCTGGTAAATAAAGGAATCGATAGCTGGCAACTTTCCTGGATTATTCTAGTAGTAGTTTCACAGTAATGGAAACATATCATATATAGGGCATTTTTTCTTTCATAAAAGAATGCTTCAATTTTTGCGAGCTTCCAAATTGCAGTAAATTTTCACTGAAACAACTCTTTTAGAAACTATCTTTTTGACTAAATATATATATATATATATATATATATATATATATATATATTCTTTTTTTATTAATTAAATTAATAATAATAATAATAATATATATACAATAATTAACATACTACTTACTATACACATATATATATATATATATATATATATATACTCAAAAATTGCTCAAAAATCCTTGTGTGAAATTAGCATCGATTTTATTTTTATATGTATGCATGTACATACATCTTCCCGTTTCCTTGAATACCAAATGAAAAATTTGCGTTGACGCAAAATCAACATTTTGTGCGCAGCGATGTTTTCTGTGATATATACAAGATGTAATACAAGATGAGATACTCACTAATAGAGGACATGGTTGGCATGATGTCTCTCGTAACGTACGATCTTACATAGTCCGCGGAGAACGGAGTCTCTGCACGGACGCAGTGCCTCCAGACCCAGTAGCCCATAGTATATGACCTGCAGGTCCTGAGACAGAAAGAATTAATATATAAATAACGTACGGATTCGAGGAGGTCTCGCTTGAATTCTGCGAGACTAAAGTCTGCGAAAGGATTGCCGCACACGTGTTTCCTAATCGATGCATTGCACGCGTATTCCGTGACAACCATCGCGTTAGCTTTAACAGTAAATTGCAATTGCGATTGAGACACGAGCTAAAGTAATCACCGCGAAGCCAATCTGTCTCGTTACCTCGCAGATGTGCTCTATTTATTGGTAATGTAGAACACGTACCACAGAAATTGTCGACGAATTATCGGCAAACTACCGGCGGCGAATATAAAACTGAAATCTGCAAGTTTCCGCGAATAAACAAACAAAATATCATGCGTTTAATAGCGTACGCTATTTCTAGCCGCATTTCATGTTCCGCAGAAGTTATCCCGATCATTTCTAATTTCCGCATCTGATGTCTGGATTACGTCTTAATAAAAAAAGAATGACATATACATACGCATCTGCTTGTCCATCGTGTATCGAAATTAAGTAATTATAAAATAATTATAAAATGTTTTTCACGGCATTAGTCTTGAAAAGTGCCTCTATAATTCGGTAATATAAATTATGTAAACAATACGTAACAATAGAGTGATTAAAAGTCACAAACAACAATTCGTAACAAAAGCTTTTCTCAACATATATTATACGTCTTAATGCGAATCGAAATTAAAAATCACTCCATGGCCAGAAGTTACGAACGGTCCAAACTCGCGCTATGTATCCTGTATATTAACCGAGTCGCAGTAACGCTCAAGCAAAGTTGCGTAGCAACTTTGATCCGTATACCAAATTATCGCGCAAATCTAATTATCCTCAAGTCACCTCGCTTAGAGGTGCGTGTGCGAGCTGACTGGGTCGTCGCACAATTTCACGCTGGATCGCCGATCGAACTTGCCTATCCATCCGAGCATCCTATCCCGACGGGACCCGAGTTTCCAGCTCTCAGAACCAACGCGCTCTCGGCGCCGTTTCGTCTGCTGGGTTGTTTGCGAACACCGACCGCAATCAGCGTTACAACGCGTTACAACGCGAGAACGTTACGGCGCATATCGTCTACCGACGACCCGACAGCGAACCGCTGTCGACGCCGCTGTCGATTCGAGAGAGAAACGCATGACGATACCAATTTCATTCGACTAATCCCGAAAATGTCCCTTGCCGCGATAATTACATTCCCCATGCGATTACGAACAAATTATGCGGTCTACGTTCGAAATGTGCGCGTGATGCGCGCACAGTGGCGGCAAAAGCGTGGTTTCCAGCACATCTGATTTTTGCGTTCTCATCGCAGCATGCCGCAATTGCCACCTGCACGAGCTTCAGTCGCATTTATTCACTCGCGATATTATATATTATGTGTTGTACGCGCCGCGCGCCGCGAGCTGTCTTTACTTATGTCTTTATTCGAACGTATTGTGAAAAATAAAAATGCAATCAATGCAACGGTTGTCGAGATGTCATCAACTACACGTTACTAAAATAAATTAACAATACAAACCATGTAACAAAGCTCTGTTATTTGCGTTATGATATTATTTTACATACCACAAATTCATCGTTACTTTTAATATAATAAATTCCAGCTCTTTACGTATTTAATCACGCCTTAATTTTCAACTTAAGGTCTATTATCTCAACGGAATCGTCGGTATCGCGACGCGAGGGAGCTCGGAAGGATTTATAAAACTGGAATTAAGCGTCGCCAGATGTGGCGCGCATCGTGGCGCGACAAATTCCCAAGGGAGACCAAACGAGATTATAAATATGCGAGCGTGTACGCCTAAGTATTTTGAAGACGCTTTGCGCCGCTCTGTCTGAGAAGACGCTTTGCGCGTAAAAGGGAGCGGATTCTCGCTCGACTTTGCCAACGCTTTGCGCGCGCGATCTTGATCTCTCTTCTTCCTTTTTCGCACGAAAAGTGGAGCGAACACCGGACGACCTTCGCGTATAGATCGTACGAGGCGTGGCCCGTGTTTCGTGAGATTTTAAAGAAGATCCATGAACAACTCGCGGACGTAAATCCTGAATTATCGTTGCCATCACGTACACGCACACACACACACGCGCGCGCGCGCGCGCGCGCACACACACACATACGCACACACAAAAGAGTGCCGTCCATTGCTCGTGGACCAAGTTTCGACTATTACGGAGTTATGCATAGTTTACGAGGCGCGACGCTGTCATCACAGTCGTTCGCCGTCTATACCTTACCTGTAAGAAACTACAATCTCCGAAATTTTCACGTTATACGCGGTAGCGTTTCGAAAAAAACGTTATAAAGCGCATAAAGCTAACACGAATCATATCTTATCTATACGTACACTGTTTTTTTTTCTCCATATGAAGCATTTCCGAGAGTATAAATTATCATCAAGTTCTCTTTACGCGAGCAATATACAGATAAGTGTATTATTTGAATAACAATTGTTTTATCATGTCGTTGATATAAACGGAGAATGCAAGATTCAAGAAGAACTGAACAATTAAACATGACATAAAAATTTGTACATGTATGAGAGAGAAAATATTGAATTGCTTCAGCAAATGTAAAATTCTTAGAACGCACGGACAATACCTTCTATTATAATTCGATATTCCTTTCTTCTTTCGAAAGATTTTTTCGATATTATTCAACTTATCGACTTTGAACGAACATTCAGTTTCACATTCAGTAACCGTTTTAATGAATAATATGAAAAGATTACATATATCAAGTAATTGACCGATAGAAAATGATACTAATGAAGAATCTTCTCGGATTATTAATGATATGGCCTAACGTGTATTATCGAAACTGGCTGGAAAAGCCAGTATATTGACCGGCATCGTATACGTTGTGACGATAATTACTAAGCACAAAATCATTTCTATGTTTCTTGATAAAACGAGTTTTATAGAAAATCAAAAATTTCCGGCATTCCAAATCCGATATCCGAATAAATTATATTGTAATTTCTGTATCTCTCGGAAATTTATGTTATAATAAATTAGAAATATGGTCTATCAAAGAACTAAATAGCTAAATGGCTAAAAATGGCTAAAACTCTAAATGGCTAAAAATTTGTTTGCGTTCGTCTAATGCGTATCGGAAAATGTTCTCAGGGATCCAACCTCGTAATTAATGAGAGTGTTCTCTCTCTTTGTACTCTAGTCTCACACGCGTGTACTATCTGAGATGTTCGCGACCTAGCGATGCAAAGAATATATTGCTGTTATACTTTCTAAGACTATTATCGAAATCTAAAACTACAAGATCTACGTGCACGAGATGCACGTGAAGGCGCGTTTCCTTGGAAACACGCCTTCATGTACACGGTTGATACATTTCTCCTCGGATTAATGATTTATAAACACCGATGCTACAAGATATGTTTTTCCAACCAATGTTTTTTCATTCAACATGGAAGAATATCTATTTGTTACTTTTAAAGAAAATAAGTGCCATAAATATGTACACATAAATCATCATTTGATACAAATATATTTGTATCAAAATGCACTGCGCTATAGATACATATGTATGTATGTATATATGTATGTATGTATGTATGTATGTATGTATGTATGTATGTATGTATGTATGTATGTATGTATGTATGTATGTATGTATGTATGTATGTATGTATGTATGTATGTATGTATGTATGTATGTATGTATGTATGTATGTATGTACGTACGTACGTGTACATTACATATTCAATAACGAAAACGCGACAACCGATTAATTAACAAAAAGAGAGTAATAAAAATCGAACGCAAAAGAAAGAAATTAAATAAGCTCGCGGCACAAGCCGGTTTAAATAATTCAAGAGACAAATATTTAATTAATTAAAACTCGGAGAAATTAAAGTAAAACTTGAATCGCTGAATACATGAAATTTTCATAAACTTTTAATCAATAAACGTTGAAAGAAAAGATTTGTAAGATTAATTGTATAACTTGGAAACCAATATTTTTCATATTTTTTCATTTATAGAAAATAGATGCATATTTTTATTTAAAAAAATATAAATAATAATCTAATATCTATAATATACTTGTACATATAATATCTATACTACATTTACAAATTATTAACGAAATATAATAATTAAAACATATTTTACTTCATATTAGAAAGCTTTGAATCTTTGAAAAACTCTCAAACATTTAATCTCATTAATTTTATCATATTATTCTTTTTTGATAAAAAACAATTAACGTTCTACGGAAGATTCACACTCGAAGGATGCTATGTCGATTACGTAAAAGTAAACGACATAGCAGAAGATTGCCACTTTCGAAAGTTCAGATAGTATTGCTTCGAGACAATGCCGACAATGCTCTTTGACCTTATCACCGTTGTGAATGTACATGTTTACAGACTTTGGATATATGTATGTGTATGAATGATCATACGATCGTACAACTTGCACACTCATAATTCTATCTGTCCATTATACCACAAATATCAAATAAATAGACGATACGTTCGTAGAATTGCTCGCAAAATCGACGGGCGTATTTTTAATTCGATTCGATTCTCTCAAAAAAGTTTCGGGAAACACAAGCGCTATTTACTTACTTGGAGGGTTCGCCTTTCTGGATCACGGCAGAGAGCCCGAACGAAATGTGGATCCAAGTAGTCCGTCATAATAGCCCGTAAGACTATACCACGATCCTTTTCTTACCAGCTCTCGCGTAATTCCGTGTCCTGCTTAAATACTCGTTCCTGAACATCGCCCCGAAATCGAAGAAGCGCGATCTTCGATTTTCAGCGGCACGCGCGCGACATCGCGTCGACTATTCGTAAGAGAAGACGTCCTATCATCTTATCAGTCTTTCATCATAAGACACGTTGCGCTCTTCTTTCGCCAAGATCTTGCCGACTTTTTCGGATTGCATCACGATTGCATCACGATTGCATCACGATTGCATCGCGATGCGTAGAGCCACGAAGAATGCGGGTGAAAAATATCTCCGCGGAAAAATATCTTGGCAAATCTTCAACATATCTTATAGCCACGATGCGTCTTTCTCCATTTCTTCGATTATATGTGGGATTCTGCAACAGAAAGACAGATAGAAGCATGTAAATAAGAGAAATAAATCACACCCAACTTGGCATGATACTTCCGTTTTACAATCGAATATTTTACGTCGACTAATCAATTTTCTTTTCTTTCTCCTCCTTTACTCGACTTTTTTTTGTAAAAACTCAAAACGCACTTATAAGCACTTTCCTAAGAAAATAAGACTAACGATCTCTCCTTAGGATGAAAAACGAATACAATTAATCATTCCCATGTGGATTCGAATTTCTCAATGACGATAAAAAGCACCGTTACGAATCGCAAGACGCGCAGGTAGAATTATAAACGTCGCGAATCGGAAGTCGCTCGTTAAGGTGCACCTGCGGATGCAACATGTATCGACCAAACTGGAAACATGTCAGCATGTCGACCTTTAACTCCTTCAGGGCCAGGAGGAAGTTCAGTGAAATTACGTTTGCTCGCGCAGTAGAATGTGGAACAATGTTAACAACGTGAGTTAATTTCAGTTTATTAAGCAACAAATTAGCATATAAGTATATCTTTCAATCTTAGATCGTGTGATTAAATAAATAGACATATAACAATATAGATATTACGTATAGTGAAAGTATAAATTTTTATTATACATAGATAATAAGAATAAATTTGTATAAGCCTAAGATGACATAGCGCGATAGATAATATATAAAAAATAATAATGCAGCATTGTATATCAAAAAGCAGATTCAAATTCAATTGCGGCTTCGAAAATCATGTATTTCGTACAAAATACAAGGAATTACGTGATCTTAAATTTCTGGAATCATCTTCCGACCTTGGATAAGTAGCTTCACGCGAGGTATGTATCTTAACTACCTTGAAAGCGGTAAGTCGAGGTCGTACAAGTACTCTTGCTGCGCTGCGATCAACACCCATGAACTCGACAACGCATTTTAGAGGTTCTTGATCCTGACGGAACGGGACTGGGTCTCGTTTCGATTGGAGCGTAGCACTTGAGAATTTATCTGATTATCGTGACAGCGTACTTAATTCTTCATGTTTTTTACCCATGTTTTATCGCCCATGCGTAACATCATTCACGATTTTTACTCTCGCTCGCATAATAATCACAACGTGATAGTACTCGTATTATAAATATAATATATGAGATATCCTCTAACATTCTCTGCATAAATAGATTTTCTATCGGTTTCTTCACTGCTAGAAGCAGCAATTTCAGATACGCGGACTAGCGACTTTAAAACGATCAAGAACAAGTGGAAGATTTCGTTTCTTGATTGAGAGGAGACAAAAATAACTCGTCGCAAAAGACAGATCGATCATGACCTCGAATATATTCAATCGTACCTCAGTCTGATGTATATTTTCTCTGTCCGCCTACAATCTATCGCTTGAAAAAAGGATTTTATAATCGTGCTGTCGAAATAATCCTATTGATATTCATGTATTATTCTTCTGTGCACAGATCGATTTTGTTGTTCGACGAGAATATTCTCTTCGCATTAATCTATTATCTGCCAAAGCAGTTCAAGGTTCCGAGACATTTCATTATATAATAAAGTAAATTCCAAAAAAAGAAATATAAAAAGATTAAAATTTGTATGGCGTCTTACGCTTGCAAAAGGCAAATGAATTATTGAATTTATGCCTTTGTTTTCACACAATGTAGCAAAGAAGCATTACAATCATGTTTAAATACAGGTTGTATCCAAATCATTACGTACACACACACACACACACACACACACACACACACGCGCGCGCGCGCGCGCGCGCGCGCACGCACGCACGCACATTACAAGTATTTTAGTAAATCCTAAAATTTCAATAGAATTTCGTTAATTTAAACAAATCATCATTTGAATTACGCGCGTGCCGAAACTTGTTTACAGGTTTCCGCGTTGCGTAAACTGTCGCACGCAAATGTTTAAGGGAGAGAAAGCAATCTATTAGGAATAAAAGCCGTACACGAGCGGAGGAACATCTCGAAGGAGTTGGCATGACGGGGTAGAGAATACGAAGAAGAAGCGGAGCTTCGTCGGCCTTGCGGATCGTTTCTGTTTAGCTTCGTACTACTTGTTTTTCCCCTCTTCGTCGTCGTCGTCGTCGTCGTCGTCGTCGTCATCGTATTCTTCTTCTTCGTCTTCTTCTTTTCCCGCATGAGGTCTGACCGGCTCTTTCTTTCTTCCCTTCATGAAAGAAACTTGCTGAGTCCGCGTCTCGTTCACGACACGACTATGCACCACGAAGCGAAACGCCGTTAAACAAAAGCGCATGGGAGTGCAGGCGCGTATATCAATTTACTAATCGCGCTCGATCATCGACCGACGAGCCAACTCGTAACGATCCGTAATTGA